TACAGATATTACATAATTATGCTAATATCTGGCCAATAATATCGGATCCCTGGTGCATGGGTTCAATTCCTGTTTTTTGTTTTCCCTCACTGTCTGTTCCTACATTTTCAGCCAATCTGGTTTCTTCCCACAGTCGAATATCATACAGGACTACGTTAGCAAAACAGCTGACTCTTAATTAAACATAGCTGCAAATGTCAAAGTTATTGGTAGTTTATGTGTTTTGTTGTTTCTACCTGCGGTGTTCCCTGTTTGGATTGGCACCATCCACCTACTCCACCCTGAAAAGGCATAAAGGTGGAAAGAAGGAACAGGATTAGAGTCTATGCTGATGATTCTTAAATTGAACACAACACAGACATGCTAACAGGAATTGAAGAAAGACCTTCTTCTACTCTTTCTACCTTCTTTAGTCCATAATTGCCCTCTGCTGCCACATTGTGGAAGATAATTACATTTCTCTACCAGTCACTGTCACATAAAACCATTTTTTCACCCCGGCAGATCGTTCTTCTCTTTACGTGCTGAACGATCAGCGTACTAGCCTCACCTGCGTTCCATGGTGAAGCCGGAGGCTGATCTTCAAACACACACCTTTATTGACTCAATGCCACGGTGACAGAGGCAGTGAGGGGGCGCTAGAGAGCACAGACTGTAGCAACATTTGACTGAACAGTGACAGTTAAATAATATAAGCAAGAGGAATAAAATATTTTTATCTTATTAAGTAACAGACGAGCTACATTTGAGAAAGTACAAAATCAAAGTGCCTTCAACTGTAAACTATTTTTGCAAACAATGAAATAAAAACAAAATATGTGACACTACGAGCTGTAAGATTGTTTTTTTGCATGTACAAATACTACGAATCAGGACTTAACGATACTCTCAACTTACAATACGATTTTATCACGTTCTGTTCCAACACCTGAACGTCTCTTAGCCTACGCAGGGAGCTGACATCTGGGTTTGATAGTGGGTTTTTAGGAGCATACTGCCACCTACTGTACTGGAGTGTGTAGTGTCATGGTATGACCAGAGACTTTTTTGAGATAAGTCTACTCCTTAGATCAGGGGTGTCAAACACATGTTGGTTCAGGGCCCACATAAGGCCCAGATTAGATGTCAAGTGGGCCATATTTACCTATAAATAACAACGTCCATGCCCCCCCCCCCGTTTTCCTGCCAATAAGTAAGAAAACATTCAAAAATCTTCATATTTAATGAAATATAAGTACGAGAACATTCAAACATCTTCATATTCAATGAAATATAATTTGACAAAACATCACCGACATGAAGTGTTTTTGTACGTTTATACTTTCAAATTCATCAAGCGGGCCAGATTGAACCCACTAGCGGGCTAGCGGGCTAGCTCTGGCCTGCAAGCCGTATACTTGACACCCCTGCCTTTCATTTTTTATTTCACTCGATGTCTGTCGAATTGTCACGTATTTGTATGGATTTTGAACCCATTCACGATGCATCGTTACATCCTTACTCAGTACCAGTCTGCGTAGCATGTGACCATGTGACCACTCCTCCATACCTACAGTATCTCATGTCCTCCGTCACTACTCCCACAGCCACTCGTGAACAATAGCCTCTTCTTTCTTTCCGCGAGTCTTTCATGACCTGGTGTCGTATCCACTCATATGAACGACTCCCTGCAGGGGTCACTCTAAACCAGAAACTTAATATTCCTTAGTGAAGAGCGTGATCTCTGTGCAAAACAAGTGCGACTGTGGAAGAACTCCCATCATGCCACACTCCAGGACACAACCACGCACGATGTCCGCCCTCAGCGGTGGAGAGAACTGAGACGTACTGTATGTGGGGTAAACACAGAGGACAAGAGGCGCCACCTTCAGGCTGTCATCGCTCTTACTCTCACTTTCACAGTAAATCACAGCAGAATAATGTCCCGTGTTGTTTCTCTTGTTTGCCCCGCAGACGGTTTCCCCCGACATTTGCACCACATCATTAGACCAGCACAGGCTGCAGAGTCATGGCCGCCATTTTCACCGAGGGCCACGTCAGAACAACAGGTCGTATTATAACTGGAGGTAACTTAGTCCATTAGATATTGATTTATTGACCTATAACCGTCTCTGTTTTGTTACTTATTCAAGTTATATCTCAGTATTGTACAGTTGTATTTATCAGACGAAAGAACACTTTTTTAAATTTGATTTCCAAACAATATAATAAACAAAAAAAAAACCCTTGAAAAACAAAAGGCCACAACAAATTGACTGTGAGCTGCTAAAAATATGGCTGACTGAAACAACCCTGTAGGGGGCGCACATATGGTTTAAAACAAGAAGAGGAGGTTTTGGTTGAATTAAATATGTGAAAAACTACGTTTGTTAACATAATAACACAAACCTTCAAGTACTATGTTGTTTACTGTAATACACTCAAATAACAGCAAAGGTTGTTTCTAAGTTTATTTACTAAGTCATTTAATCTTGTAAAAAAAAATTGTATTAATTAAATAAAGTATAAAAAAGTTGCAAGTGAATAATGTAACGTAATTCAAAAATGATAACACAAACCTTCAAGTACTATGTTGTTTACTGTAATACACTTAAATAAAGTATAAAAAACTTGCAAGAGAATAATGTAACGTAATTCAAAAATGATTCTTTCTCTTCTGTCTCTGGCCTCAGACTGGTCCCCGACCAGGTGGTTGAGAAACCCTGCTCTAGAGTTTAAGTATCTGTTTCCAAATCACTTTTACATACATGCAGATTCCAATAACAACAGTAGAGGATGCTGTTTCCCTCCAGTCACTGATTAAAGTCTGAATGTTTTTTTCGACCAAACGAGTGCAGTTTGTTACTCAACAAGTGAATTTTTATATTCTTAAAGCAAATTTGAATAAAATATTATTTTAAAAAAATCACATATATATTCTGTATGTATTAAAATATTCAAACTGTGTCTCGACGTTTTCGAAGGCTCGTTCACTTCAAGTACATGTCGGCGTATTAGCGGCACCATTTTCTCACAGGAAGGAGGCCAGCACCTGCATGTGCAGTGGGAGGGGGAAGAACTGGAAAACTTTCTGCACGCTGATGCTATCACAGAGTGATTGCGTAACAGAATGTGATTTCCAGCCACATTTGGTGATGTGTGCTGACAGCTGTAGGTGA